CTGTCATTGGCCGCCATCAATGACTCGCCTTCTCGTTTTTTGCTTTGTATGTGCACGGCCTGGTGCACTTCTTTGCTTCATCCTTGAAACGTCTGTGGTAAAAGCATACGCATGTGGTAAAATCCGACGCTGGCGATTTGCTCCTCCACCGTGATCTGTCTCTCGAGAAACTCCTCTGCCGGCTTCGAGATCTCTGTTGATTCATGTTTCTGGCCATTTTTATCACCTCTGTTGTTAGCTCTGCCACCTGCCGACTTAGTGCTGCAATCTGCAGTTCCCATGGATTTTTATTCTCTGCTGGTGCTTGAGTCGATGTGGCTAAAACGAATGTCTTGTGACTTAACTCGTGGATTCGATCCGCCTGCTCTGCCACGTCTTCGAGTTTGTCCTCGCTTTTTGTTGCGAGAATCGCCTGCATATTTTGCGGGAGTCTGCCAAGCCATAATGTTCTTAGCAATTCCTTGGAAACCGTGTTTCCGGCTAACGTACTTAGGTGTCGAAGAAACTGCGATGGCTTCCTGTCTCCAATTTCTTCATGCTCCAGTAGTTGCCTGATTCGTTGGCTCTGAGAGTCTGTCAGTCTCTGAATCAGTGCCTTTTTGATCGCTTGGTACTTCTCCGTGCGTGGTGGCTGTGTGATTAGATCCTTGATCTCTCTTGCCTGTTTTGGCTCGATCCGAGAGAGCACGAAAGAGTATTTCGCCTCATCTTCTTTTATGTCAAGGAGTGCAAACTGTTCTTCTAGCTGCGCGAACCATAGCTCCGGTTCTTCGGCCCAAAAGTTTGGTATTCGTACCGAAATTTTATTAATGATTCCTTCTCCGTCTTCTACTACTATCGTTTTGTCTTTCGACGACATTTTTGTTTTTGGCGTTTCCTCCTACGTCGGGGTCACCAGTTGTGGGGGTTGATTCGTGAACGAAGATGTGATAGTTGCGGTGAATGCGCAGAGAGCTCGTGCTCCGGACCAACGTTGCGCTGTCTCGCCGCTCTGGTCGTACGTTCGTTTCGCGTTTTTTTGTAAGTGTATTCGCTGTTCCCCACGCGTGTTCTTGGAGGATGGTACGCTACGGAAAAGGATCTTATTGATGTGTTCCACTTGCAGATATTTGATGAAACTTAATTTATTAAAATATTTACAGCGCGATTGGTTTTTATGTACAAGTGTGCTTATTATACAATGTGTGTGTGTGTGTGTGTGTGTGTGTACGTGTGCGTGTGCGTGTGCGTGTGCGTGTGCGTGTGCGTGTGCGTGTGCGTGTGCGTGTGCGTGTGCGTGTGTGTGTGTGTGTGTGTGAAAAATAGAGAGAGAGAGAATGTAAACGCAAATTTATGCGCGCGTGTAGTCAGCTGATCGTCGCGACGGTCTCGCGTACCGCCTACCGGCGGACAATTACTTGCGCCGTCCCTGCCTACCATCCGTACGCGGCCCGTAATTTGTTAACTATTTCTCGTTATAATTTGAAAACTAAGCTTTGGACAAAATTTTTGTAAAGGAAAAATCGTCTTAGAATTGAGTCAAGAATACGTCT